TTTTTTGGTACTGGGGATCAAACTCAAGACCCTGTGCTTTCGAGGCAGGTGGCAGAACCACTGAGCTAAATCCCTAGCCCCATTCCTCAAAAGACATAACTTGTAAAAGTAACATAAAAATAACTACAAAAGTTGTACACTTACTAAAGTAATTGAATTCATAGTTTTAAAAACTTCTTTTAAAAAAGACCCAGACTAGCCAAACCTATTTCAAGAGAAAATAGCGCCAATTCTATACAATCTTGTCCAGAAGACAGAGCAGGGAACACCCTCAACCAATTCTGTGAAGCCAGCGGTTTTCACAATACCAAGAGTAGATAGATATTATAACAAAATTACCAAAAGTATTTCTCATGAACATAGACATAAACATCCCCATAAATATTAGCAAATTAAATCAAGCAACATGTAAATGAGACCCATGTTGATAATGCAAGACTGGTTAACAACTGAAAGCCAATGGGATAAAGAAATAATGCATAACAGGGCAGGCCTTTGTCTGTTGCTAACCTCCCCCCATGTTTCTATTCAAGCAAAGCAACTGTTCGAGCTTCACAAGAATATTCTGTTAACTCCACTCCTCTGCTTCTACAAGCATGCTCACCCTGTGCATGGGCTTGCCTCCCTACCTATATAAGGCTGCTTCCATTTCTGTTCAAAGCTCAGACTTCAGAGTACGAACTCCCTGCTGGTATGATAAAGGATCCCTCCATCTCTACAGTGCTCGCCTCTGTTTCTTTGCCTCTAGAGACCTTTGAATAGCAATAAGACAGAGCTGTAACACATGGCTGTAATGTTGAGCTGTCACACTTCACTGTAATAAGTGTAATTTGCAATATATTATCAGACTAAAGAAGAAAAACCATGATCAGCTCAACAGATGGAGTAAAAGCATTTTATAAAATATTAACACAAACTCAAAAAACAAGGAATAGAGAAAAATTTGATGTCATCTCCAAAAACCAAGACAAAAACCTAAGCTATATCACACTTAACATTAAAAGACTGAAGATCAGGAACAAAACAAAGATGTCCTCTTTACCAATTCTAGGAAGGATTGGAAGTCCCCGAAAGTCCTAGAAATGCAATGGGTAGGCTGAAGAAAGCAGGTAGATTTTTAAAAAACAGATAAAAGACTGTTTCTAATCTCAGTTGACATGGTAATCAACATAAAAAAACACCTCAGCAATGTCACAAGATTAATGGTAAACCTAGAAAAACAATGAAACATTGAAAAATTTAAGGTTTTATTTACAGAAACAACAAAATATAAAATATGTAGGTACAAATCTAACATAAACATGTAGAACCTATGTGTTGAAAACTAAGAAACACTGATGAAATTAGTTAAAGACATAAATACAAGGAGAGATCACTATACTGAAGTAGTAATGTCGGGGATGGATCCCCCAAATCACTTAACTGGTTTAACAAACCCAGGAAAACCTCCCTGGGAATTTCTATAGATATCAGTAAGCTAAGTCTAAAACGTATGTGGAAAGACAAAGGAACTAAAGCAGCCAAGACAATTCTGAAAAAGAACAAAGCTAGAAGATTCAAACTATCCGATGTGAAGACTAATGGTGCTTCCTTAAACTTGGCAGTTTGAATGGCGAAAGGGCCAACACAGAGAATATAAAAGGTTCAACTGTAAACCAACTGTAAAACTTTGGAAGAAAACAGAAAAGAATCTTTGTAAGCAGAGGTTAGGTAAAGAGCTCCTAGACATGACCCACAAAAAGAAAAGAAATGGATAAATTTGACTTCATCAAAATTCAACACTTTCATTCTCCCCATCACCCTGTCAAGAGAATGAAAAGAAAAGCCACAGACTGGGAGAAAACTGTACAAACCACACATATAAGGTATGTGTCAGGACACATAAAGGACTTTCTGAAGTCAACAGTAAAATGGCAAACAGCCTGATGTTCTATGTTGAGAAAATATTTAGTTAGCAAAGACAACATACGGCTGGCAAATACACAGAAGAAAAGATACTCGACATACTTGGCCAACGAAGAAACACAGCTGATACCACGTGATGTCAGTACACACCTACTAGTAGTACAGTGATTTTGGAAAAACCAAGTACAATGCCGTGGGGACCACTGTCACTGCTGTGGGGGTGTGGCAGGTTGCTGGGTCAGCTTTGAGAACAGCAGGGTTGTTCCTTACACAGATTGCTACAGAATCACCTTGGGCAAACACCCCATTGAAATGAAGATCTGTGTTCACAGGAAAACCCGCATGCGAGTGCTCTCTGTGGCTCTGTCCAGAAATCCCAGAACTGGAGACCACCAAATGTACCTCTGAGGCCGATGGAACAGTTTGTCCACATCACAGAACCTTCTCTTTTGGGGCATGCGTGGATCCCAAAGGTACTCTGCAGAGCGACAGAGCTGCATGTGGCCCGGTGCCATTCATGGGTGTTTCCAGAACCTTCCCTCCCCTTCCAACCTCCTGTCCCTCTTCACCAGGTGTGCAGTAAGGCAGCACCAGGTGTGCACTTAGGCAGCCTTGGGGTGGTGGTCTCAGGTGGAGCCCAATGAGCCTGATGACCTAGCATACAAAGCCCGGGCCCAGGGCCTTGATTTGATCTCGAGGGCTCCAATTTTCCATCTTAATGTTAAAACAACAGACCCCTGCCTTCAGGCTCCATGACATCTACACCAGCTCTGAGTACCAACCTCCTCCCTCTTCACCAGGTGTGCAGTAAGGCAGCACCAGGTGTGCACTTAGGCAGCCTTGGGGTGGTGGTCTCAGGTGGAGCCCAATGAGCCTGATGACCTAGCATACAAAGCCCGGGCCCAGGGCCTTGATTTGATCTCGAGGGCTCCAATTTTCCATCTTAATGTTAAAACAACAGACCCCTGCCTTCAGGCTCCATGACATCTACACCAGCTCTGAGTTTCTTGTGAACTTATGATATCAGCCATGAACCTCCTTTCCTGGCTTATCCTGTAGAGACTGAAGACTGGAAGTAAAAGCCATATTTGGTTGTGTTGCTTGAATTATTTTGTTGTTTGGGGATATTTTCAAACTTCAGTAAGAAGATGTATTCCTGAAGTTTGAGAATGTCTGCCCTGAAATATGAGTAGGACCCCACCTCCACTACCACCCACAACCTGCCTGGTCCCAGTAAAAGCAAACCTCTAGAAACTTGCAGGCCACAGAGCCACGAACCCATACGGTGGATCCGGAACTTGTTTCTTCACTTCTATGGGAAACATGCAACTGGCTGAGATATTCAAATGAGGGAGTGGGCTCCAGGGGACCCCAAGCCTGGGGCCTCTTCTACAGACTTCCTCAGAAACTCCCACTAGCAAGAAGTTGCAGAATGCTGTGGGGAAAAAGGACATGGAAATACAGCTGACCTACCCCTACTTCCAGGTTCTGGCTTCCCAGGCCCCAGGGAGCTACTAGGGGAGACCAGAAAGGCTTGGCCAAAGCTCAGCTGGGACCAGCATGGTACTTCTCCAGGTCTGCAGCCCACAGGAGGGGGTTCAGGCACATCCAGGGCTTCAGAAAACGGGCTGGTAAGTAGGAGCGTCAGGAGCACCTTGAGGGCATGGGGTCCGCCTCCTTGAGAGGAGAGAATGAGGGATGGCGATGTGGAGGGTGGAGTGCGGAGGATGGAGGTGAGGCGGACAGAGAGGAGGGTGCAGTGGAGGTGGGGAGAGCAGAGCTGCAGAGCTAGGAAGGGTAGAGGCAGGGAGAGTGGGGCGGAAGAGGATGAATTTGTGGGCAGGGCTCAATGGAAGTATAAATGGCTTGATGTTTCATCAGGTTTCCTCTCACTGCGGGAGTGAAACTAGAGGATTCAGAATGCAGACTTACTCAGACCTGGCTGAAGTCATGGACAGTCTCGTCCACTTGGGCCTCACACCAGGATCCTGACCACTGCCCGCTATCCCCAGCCAAAGCCTCAGGACACTCCTGGTCTATCCGTGTGTCCTGGAGCTTTGGCTTCGGGTGAACTGGAGGCTGGGGAAGAGCCCCCCCAGGGACCCACACTCACCTCCAGAAGCAGCTGCCCCTCCTGCACGGGGGCCCCTCCTTGTGGGCTGTCTCCAGGTGAGAGGGTGCAAGTCTCCTGCACGGCTGTCAAGAGAAACACACAGGTGAGCTTCAAGTGCAGGCAGCTCTTCTCCACTCACACTTCCTCACGCTTCCCCACCTCCACCCACAGGTACTGCTGCGCCTGCAGCCACAGTGCTGTCCTGCATGATGGCCATGGTTCCACAGAGCAGGCAGGAGGAGCCAGGCCCAGATCTCAGGTCAGCAGGGGGAGTGACCAGAATCCAGAGAGGGCCCAACCCTGAGGTAGCCGCCCTCAGTACCCCATCTCCCTCAGCATGGCCAAGTCTCCCTCCATGTCCAGGTCCCCAGGGTCCTATAGCACCCTGTGAGGCCCAAGCACTGGGACCTAACATGCCACTGTTGTTGGCCCCTAAATGTGAGCTGTCTGTAATCCCCTCCTGGGCTGGAAGTGCTCAAGGACATCCACTCCCTGAAGGACAGAGAGATTCTTGGTGTGGGTTCCCAACCCACATAACTGATCACTCTGCAGTGAAGAGCTCAAGGTCCAGATGGACAATCTGTTCCCACCCTAGCTGCCAAGTGGTGACTTTTGGACCCCACCTGGGCATCTAACTCCCCAGTCAGTTACCATCCAAATTGGCATGTGGAATGTGGGGACCGCCCACTCGAGAGAAGGGATAGGCAGGTCCTAGATGGGAGCTGGCTCAGGTGCCCTGGGTAGCTCAGATGGCCCCTTGTGGCTTTGCCTCCAAGGAAGGCTGGGCTGGCAAAGTCTCCCTTGTTTCTTAGATGCTGGACAAAAGCCACAGGTGGAAGATACCTGCACTCCCAGTCCAACGTCCCCATCCATTCAGACAGACACATCCCTGGCCTCTTGATTTGACCCTGGAATGTGACATGACCCAGCACTGAATGTGGCATTTGGCCATCGGGATTTTCTTTGGATAATGAGCTAGTCATGAACTTTCCACTCAAGAGCAGCTGTCTTGAGGTAGGTGGTTACACTGATCTGTCTCCTCACAAGCATCAGGGACATCACAGTGCTCTGCTTCCAAGACAGCACCCTATGACCCCTCACTGCCCCATAGCCCAACCCTGAACAAGATATGTGGCACACAGAGCCCCCACTGCCGGGAGAAATTCACTTAGTGGGGACCAGAATGCTTTAGAAAGCTGCTCAATTTTTATTTATGGCCCACCGCCTTGTGGAGAGGAGGAGGCTGCTGGGCAGATTATGAAGTAAAAGAAGTGCTGGAAGGGCAGTTCTGAGTTCCCTCACTCAGGAGAGAGGGGCATCCCCAGCTCCACGTGGGCAGCGTTCTGTACAGCTGCAGCGTGCACCTCCCATACCCCTGTCAACTTGTCCATGTGAGCTGAGTGTGACCTCCATCCTCCTCAGGCCACCTTGGGGTCCACAGCTGGCTGCTGGGCATCCCCAGAACCTGTCAGAAATGCAGGGCTCAAGCTGGGGCCTTCTGCATACTCTGGTCCAGATTGGTTTCACCTTCTCCCTTCAGACTGGGGCTGCCTAGGCACACAGGACCCCTGGACAGCCTCCCAGGCTGCTGCCTCCACAAGTGCAGGGCGCAGACAATAACGGGAACCTTAGGTTTTCCCTGAGCACCCCCCAGGACCCATTACCCCCCACACCCTGGTTTCCTGTTGAGACTTGGGTTTCTGTGGCTGAGCCATCCTGAAGACAGGTGCAGAACTGGGGTCCCCAGAACTCCCCAAGCAAGGCCCTGGGATCTGCCTGTGTATGCCCACTCGCACTGGGTACAGGGAGCCCCAGGCGGAGAATGGGCCTGACGCCCCTGGCTTGGGCTGCGCTGCCACGTGGAGTGTGTGTGTGGGGGTGGCGGCTCCACAGGATGCCGCGTTCCCAGAGCCAGGCTGGAGAGGATAGCGCCCCCGCGCCTGGCACCTGCGCACAATGCCAGACGAATCCCCCTTGGGGTCGCCTCGCTTGGACCCAACGGAGGGTCCCC